GTGATTGGTCGGTAGTGCAGTGACGTGGATCTCGCCGTCCCGTTCGCGCTGCCGTTGAAACTTAACGTGCTGTTTCGTTCGGGTCGGTAATGCAGTGACGCGGATATCGCCGTCCCGTTCGCGCTGCGCCGTGGGAGTGGGATCAGTTTTTGTTTGATGCAAGTATGAGCGTACCGTATCTACTCTTTTTGTTTTAAACTAAGAGAGAACCGCGGGTCGTGATAGAGGTCGAGTAATGCGGCTCATTCTAAACTAAGCCTTATGCAGTGTGGTGTAAGGGAGAAAGTGCATCGACATCTGCACTTGTTTACAAGTTATGCGCGTTACCTGCTTAGGTGTAAGTACTCACGCTGTGCTAGCTAATTCTCAATTTAACAGGTACTTTCTAGAATGCGTCGATCGGCGTATATAAGCGCGAATGGCGCCGCACAGAGACAGTTGAGTTTCAACAGCGAGCGAATCCAAAGGCGATCAAAGTGCAACAAAAGTGTTCAAGTGAGATTGTTAGAGACTTGTATAGTGAAATACAGTGTTTAGTGAGTGTTTTGTAATTAACATTGTGTGTTAATTGTGTGAACTGTATGGTGAATAAAGAACTGTCAAGCGTGAACTTGCATACAATTTCGAACCCCATCCCGACATGTAACAATATTATTATATACGCCAATCTGTGGAGTTTTTTGCGCTCATATATTACCATAGCAAAGGCGAGCGAAAGGAATTTGTACCAATTTAATTAATTCTCTCTGTTGAAAGGCTCTTTATTATGTAGCAAAAAGAGCAGCATAATTATGGTATTGATATTTTTAAGCGCCATACTTAAACACCAAAGCCCTTGTCCGGCGGCTACTATATAAAGAATCATGTCATCAACTTGTGTGCCTACTCGCTGAGTTGCCCGACGAAACTTAAACGGCAATTGTAGATTCTCAAAAAAAGTTGCTCTTGTAGATAGCCCGCCACTTATAAATTTTACGACTTGCAATGAATGAAGCCCTCAAATAGTCTCCCGGTCTTAGAATAATAATAAAAAGGCGAAACTTCAAGTGTGCCAGTTATCTCGTGCTTTGGAAGGCACGTTGAGCCGTTGGTCCCGGCTGCACCTGCAGTCGTTAGCACCCAATGATCAGCACTAGGCGGTTGTGCTGGGTCATGCTGACCAAGTCTTCCTATTAAATCCATAGGGAAGGGCTGTGCTTCAGCAGTGAATATTACTGAAGATATTAAGTAATAGTCTGTACGTATAGCACAAGGACAAAGTCACGAAAACTATCATAATTTTCGCACAATCGCACAATCGTTGTCTGATGTTGATGGTATCATAAGTGTACGCTTCTTTTTAGAAGGAAAGAAAAACAGGAATCGCCTATGCGTGACTCTCACACTTACTTTTGTTTTACTTAGTTGTTCCACGCAGGGCTTGAAACTGGTTTCGAAAATACCGGTAAATAAAGGTTAATACCGGTTTTTAGTAAAGGTTTCGTTCGGAGCACGTCCGAAATAAAAACGGTACCTAAAACCTTAATAAACCGGTTTAATCCAGAGCGACACGTGCACGCGTCGGCATCGCTTGAATTTGTTTAAACTAATCAAGTCTCAAGTTGTTAATGCTCAGAGATTGATGTGTTACGTTCAAAGATCGAAAACGCTCAGTGAGCGGTTTTCCACGTTTCCAGCCTAGGCCTAGTAAGATCCATATCGTATGCGTCGTAATTAAATAATATTCCATGGCTTTTCTTCATTGCCACAACGCGTTGAGATCGAATAGCATGTCAGCCACGATACGAATTTCGCTATTTGGTCATTCTGTAATTGCCACAACGCGTCCTGCGCGTTTTCATTAGAGCCATAACACGAATTTCGCCATTTGGATGTTTAATGTGACCACAACGCGTTGTGAGCTATTTTTCCGCTCACTGAGCGTTTTCGATCTTTGAGCGTAACAGATGCATTTATTGACAGGTTTGCTAGCGTCTAGTGAGTCAAGTTATTCATTTATTATCGATGCCGTCAGAAAGAGCGAAATGAAACCCTTTAAAAACCGTTAAATTGATTCAAAACCTATTTGATTTCGCTCTTTATAGTCCAGGCAACGAATGCTCAAAAACAGGTATAGAGGGAAATGCTTGGAACACAATTTTTGACTTCGTAACTTTGTTAGAACTAGTTAGGAGGTAAACATATCAAAAGTCCCCCCCCGCCCGTAGCCCTTAAGCCGGGGGGAAGGGGGGGGGGATTGAAGGTCTCATTTTTAGGTTTTTTGCATATATTTCGGAAACTATGCATCCTAGCGACATGAGACTTTAACAAAAGTGAAAGCTGATTAAATTTGCTACAAGTCTTATTCAGTCAAGTTTTATGATATCTTATATAGTCCTTGAGATATCCACTCTTGAAAGTCTGTAATTTTGGAAAAAAAAATTGCCACCACTTCCTGGGAATGCTGTTTTACTGCTCCCTCGGTGGGAGGAAGACAAGAGATATCAGGCTTAATGGTGGCCACTGATTTCAAGAATGACTTGTACCTGTAGGTATTGAGGGAAATCTCTTTCGCTGGAGCTCCATACCACCTTAAGATGCAGGTTTCACCTGCCTTTTGTACTTGAGCGGTGGTGGAGGAAGGGTGTGAAAAGACCGCTGCTGCTTTCTGAATTTCTGGTGACTTGATAATGTCTCTGGTCTCTGGGAAGGGAGGAAATTTCTCAAACCAATCGGTGAGCTTGGCAATGTCAGCTCCATCCTTGTTTTGGCGGGCTTGTCCGAAATCTGCATGCTGCTCACTGGTGGTACCAACAACCCTACGGCCGGCATTGTTGAAAAGTTATCCGGTCAAATAGAGCAAAAATATGAAAAATTTTTTTTTCCATAATTACAGACTTTTAAGAGCGGATATTTCGAAAAATATACAAGATATCAAAAAACTTGACTGAATAAGACTTGTAGCAAATTTGATCAGCTTTCACTTTTATCAAAGTCTCATGTCGCTAAAGTTACGAAGTCAAAAATTGTGTTCTAAGCATTTCCCTCTATACCTTTTTTACCGTTGCCTGGACTATTAGGAAAACCGGTTTTTTAAGGTTAAGGTAGAGCCAAACCTAAATAAAATGCTCCTAATGTACTTGACATTGATTTAGGTTTGAAAATTAACCGGTAAACAAGCCCTGGTTCCACGCCTATAATATGACTACAACACTTGACTTCTACTTTCACATGGGACCCTAGACTCTACTGCGAATCGATTTCTGTATTAATCACCATATTATATCTGTTATTGTTTTAAAATGATAATATTAAAGTGGTAGGACAAAGCGGTTTTTCCGTTCGAATTGGAGCACCCGTTTGTAACGTAACCGCCACATCACAGAAGGCCACAATCTGGGCCGTCTTTAACCTATTGGATGCCCTGGGCATATTAGGATAAGGGGGCCCCTATGACTTTGATGTGGATTATGACTTGAAATGGAGTGAGTCATACTGATGAGTGTACTACTGATGATTTTTCTTTAAAATGTGTATATGCTTATTATACCTATATATTTTTTACAATTGTAATTTCCCTCATTTCTGTTCTGTGTTGTGATGTTTTCATTAAAGTATTGTGTATTGTGTGTATTTTATTGTATTGCATTGTATACCATTATATGTATATTTAAATTTATCTAAGCATGCTGAAGTCGGAAAGCCTATTTTTTTTGCGAGAGTAGAAAAACCTCGCTTATGTAAAAGCTAGTAAGTTGGTATTGTAGTCAGTAATTTAGGTTCGATTTCATCGAATTGTGTAAGTTTTTTGGTAATAAATATTGGTTATCGTTTGGTGATGTGACAAGAACTAGGGACTTTGTATTTGATCTGTGGGAGGATATCGATCGCGGGGCTCTGGGCACTTGCCCAAAGTGCCCACTGGGAAAGAGGGGTCTGGCCATAATAAAATAACACTACCTTTTGGCGGTTTTCTGTTTCGGTCGTTGAGTTAGGATCCAGGGCTTTAAGGGGCAAGGGATTGGGGCAACGTAGGATAGATAGATAGATAAAACTTTATTCACACCAACATGCACACATACAAAATTGAAGACAAATTTTATAAATCCTTTAAAACATACAGCAAATTATATTTATACAACTATACTGATATTTTCGTGTGCAGCAGCGATGCGAATGGGCGAGAACTCAGCGTAACATTTACTCCGAGAGTAAATCGCTGATTTTCAGTTCTGACCCATATAGATGAGGTCACGCAATTAAATGTCAGATTAAAATTCACAATACAATAAACGAAATTAATAACAAAAAAATAATTAAACATTCATTGGACATATAATTGTCATGGTACTTTTACATAAACATAAAAACAAAGAAAACAAAATTGATAAATTGATCAGTGAGATAATATTAATAATTTTTATTTTTTGAGCATGGAACTGCTTGATGTTTAAATCTCAAGAAAATAGTTTCAGTGAAAATAAAATTAAAATTAAAGCACACAACACCAACGCCGACAACTCCGCACCCAAGCAACTAATTTCTGGATATTCCAATTTTCTTTTGTTCTAATAAAAATGATTTCAGATGTGTTTTAAAAGTCTATCTGCACGGTAGGCAAAGGGGGCAGCGAGTGATATTTTTTGTATTGCAAGCGTCTTTAAGCTATGGTGGCCTCTTGCCATCAGGCGGGCCGTATGCTTGTTTGACACCCTTTGAACATAAAAAAATCGTGTAAATGAAATTATATCAGTCCCATAATCCACTCATTAGAAACCCCTATATAAGACCTTTTACATTGGTCCTTCGAACCGGACGTTTAATAAATTTTCAAAAGTATTGGTCTACTCTGACCAGTCTTCAAGGCACTAGCTCAAGAACAAAGAGCGTCACCAAGGGAGGGAGGGATGGCAAGTGGGGGCAGCTGCAACCCTCTCCCTAGATATAGCGCCCAAATTCCCATTTGATTTGCTTGCCTGACCAAACATTTCTGCTTTCCAAACGTCGAAATTCAAACTCATCCTGGGCATATTAGGATAATGGGGCCCCTATGACTTCCGTTTGGTGATTTAACAGGAACTAGGGACTTTGTATTTTATCGATCGCGGGGCCCTGGACACTTGCCCAAAGTGCCCACTGGGAAAGACGGGTCTGATTCTAGGTGATTCAAATCCCAACTGATTTTTGTCAATAACTCCCAACTTGCCCATCGCCCGTCCAGACCATCGGCTGGTGAACTTGAGTTTTTGTATCTATGTAAAATTATAGCTAATTAAAGCTGTCTTGTATTCATTATTAATAGTCTTTGTGTAAAGCTGCGGACAGTGACAGTGACAATGATAAGGGTTCCTTGTTGACTTAGAACCCTTAAAATCGAATGCCCTATAGTATATGGTATGGTGGAGCACTAGTAGAAAACATCTTTGCCATCTTTGCTATTTTGCTGTTTGTGATTATTGGGGCAAGGTTTGTATGAAAGGTATTAGCTGGCGCAAGTGGTTAGCAAGTTCGGCTGCGATTGTTAAAGTAAAGATATTTCGCAGAAGTCAGTCGTTGGATGGGTGACCAACAATTTCAAAGGCAAGTTAAACCGTTGGTACTGGCTGCATATACATTCTTTAGCATCCAAAATCCCTATTCCGTCCAAGGGAAGGTCTGTGCCCCTAGGAGTGGGGACAATTATAAGATGATGATGATTGTACAGGTAAATAAAACAATATTCGACATTCATAGAATGTTTTACTCGGATTGACTCCACAAGCAATCTCACTTACATACATTGGTAGAAAAAAAAATAAAAATTTCCCTAAAACTATGTACAACGTGTGTGTGGATTGGTAAACTTATTACAAAAATATACAACGCACTTCATTTTTCCTCACAACAAAAAATATTTTCACACAGACTGTACACAGTTTCAAATATATTTATATAAAACTACTTATTGAATGGCCACATCAGCATTACTTGTAAATATTTACAAAAGGAAAACTTAATATCACAAAAGAGTACCATGATAAATTTCAGTAGATTATTTCACATAAACGTTAAAACAGATTTTCAAATACATGTTAGTATTAAACGTAAAAAGATATTTATCATTTTGACTAGGGTTGGTACATACAATATTTATATTTGCTGAGGATGCGATAAGAAATTATGGCACTATTTTATACATAATTATAAAATAGCCATGCGAATATAAAGCGCCTGACGTTAATTATAAAGCTTAAAAAAGGCAGTGATCAGTAATAACTCGTTACATTTGCAAAGTTTGGCAAGTAAACATCTTGAGTCAAGTGTTATATTATAAATATACTTAGTATCACATAAAATAACCATTATTATAAATCTTACTTATACTGGTCATTAAAAAACCTACCCTTCATTTTTCCCCAAAAATCTCACATTTGTGTGTGTGTGTTTTTTTTTTAAATAAACGTTTTGCTTTTGATTATAATACCCTAGATAGCGTGTTAACTGCATGGATGCGGCGAAAAATATCTACTGCATATGGTAGATATTATGCTCTTCCCTACACACGAACACATTGACTGTTTTAATACTATCTGACATTAGAGTCACGCACACATTACGCGAAACATGAGCCGTTTATGGGCGTGATTTACTTGGATTGCTCTATCTAGGTGTATGAATAAATCAAAGCGTTTTGCATGTTCAGTTATCTTCGAATAAAAACTTTTAAATTACTCATTTCCTTATAAGAAAATACCTTAATTCCTTTCGCATGACATGGGTGGATTGATTTTCTTAACGGCCAGTGTGTTGTTTGTACAAATTCCTAACAAGAGATTTGAGCTTTGTTTGCAAGTTCAAATGTAACCCTGCGCTTTTTGTAAAAATAAATGGCAATTGTGACGCATAGGACCATGAATACTGCAGAACCGACTGTTGTGTACACGACGGCAGTTCCGCTGCTGACGTGATCTAAGGACCCGCTGACGTGACTGACATCCCTAGCGGTTCTTGACCTGGGTTTCGTTCTTGCGAAGTCGAAATTGTCTGTGAAAGGAGTAATGGATAAGTATTGTAAAAGTAGTTACTTGTTCTTCCTTCAATTAGTACTTTTCTTCGCTTATCCCGCCGAATGGTTAGTTTTGAGTTAGATGGTCATTTGTTAGTTTGACATAATATAGCTCGGTTCTTTTCTAACAAGGAATAGAGCCATCCATAAATTATTAGTAGAGATCGTTCTCTCATGCTGAATTGGACAAAAATAATATAGAATGCACCACTTTTATATTTATAATACAAGTTCAAGTCTGTCAACAGATCCTCTTCTTAACAGCCGCTGAGGCAGTCCTTTGGGCTGGCAAAGCAGGTGAGTGAGAAAAGGAGGAGAAATCACAAATAACCAATAATATTTCCCCTCAAATTGAAACAATAAGGAAGTTATGCAGACTGTTCCAGACTTTTGCCCATACAGCTGGCTCGAAGCAAACTGATAGCATAACAGTGAATCGTAAATAGAATACGAAGTTGAAAAGAATTAAAATAATACTTTGTAAATTGTAGTAATTTATGGTATTAACGGGATTACTACCATGTACCGCGCAAGTGTACAGTGCAACATGTTGCGCGCAACATGTTGCAGGCGCCATGATCACGGTGTAACTCTTAAGGGGACTCGTAATAAACAAGGTACATGGTAGCAAGTTAATAACATAAATTACTATAGTGTTACTGACCATTAAAGTAAAAAAAAAATGTACATACCTATATCAGTTTGTTTGTCATCGTAGTCTATACTATTTGAGGCCAATCTTGCATTTCTTGGGGACTGAATCTCATTACCGGCAAGGAAAGGCGGTAAGTACGTAGAGGGAGGGTTTGTACTGCTCGGGGCAAAAGGTTGAGGGCATCTCGGGTCCTTAGATCCTGGGTAACAAGAGCTGGGTGTAGGAGTAGGTCGTGGTGATGTCGGCCTCGGACACCTAGGGTCATTAGATCCAGGGTAACATCTTGGAGGCGCTTCGGTAGTGGGTTTAGGGCACCTAGGGTCATTTGATCCTGGATAACACCTTGGAGGCGCTTCGGTAGTGGGTTTAGGACATCTAGGGTCGTTTGATCCTGGGTAACATCTTGGAGGTGCTTCGGTAGAGGGTTTAGGACACCTAGGATCGTTTGATCCTGGGTAACACCTTGGAGGCGCTTCGGTAGTGGGTTTAGGGCACCTTGGGTCATTTGATCCTGGATAACACCTTGGAGGCGCTTCGGTAGTGGGTTTAGGACATCTAGGGTCGTTTGATCCTGGGTAACATCTTGGAGGCGCTTCGGTAGTGGGTTTAGGGCACCTAGGGTCATTTGATCCTGGATAACACCTTGGAGGCGCTTCGGTAGTGAGTTTAGGACATCTTGGGTCATTAGATCCAGGATAGCATTTTGGAGGCGATTCGGTAGTGGGTTTAGGACATCTTGGGTCATTAGATCCAGGAAAGCATCTTGGAGGCGATTCGGTAGTTGGTTTAGGACACCTTGGGTCGTTTGATCCTGGATAACATCTTGGAGGTGCTTCGGTAGTGGGTTTAGGACATCTACGATCTGTCGAGCCTGGGTAACATTTGGGAGTATCAGTTGATGGCGGTAAGTAAGTCGGAGGATTTAAAGTAGTAGGTCTTGGTGGTTGAGGACACCTGGGATCTGGTGAACCTGGGTAGCAAGCTGGCTTTTTGGTAGTTGATGGATTGGGACAGCGAGTATCAGGGCTTCCCGGATAGCAGTTAGGAGGCCTAGGGCAACGGGGATCTGAATTCCCTGGTAAGCAATTAGGGGCTACTTCTGTAGTTGGCTTGGGGCATCTTGGATCACTGGATTCCGGGTAACATCTTGGCGGAGTTTCTGTTGTGGGCTTGGGACACCGTGGGTCCGTAGATCCTGGATAACACCTTGGAGGCGATTCGGTAGTGGGTTGAGGACATCTGGGGTCATTTGACCCAGGATAACATCTTGGCTGTGCTTCAGTTGTGGGTTTGGGGCACCGTGGGTCATTTGATCCTGGGTAGCATCTAGGAGGTGCTTCAGTTGTGGGTTTGGGACACCGTGAGTCAGTTGATCCTGGGTAACATCTTGGTGGTGCTTCAGTTGTGGGTTTGGGGCACCGTGGGTCATTTGATCCTGGGTAACATCTTAGTGGAGCTTCAGTTGTGGGTTTGGGACAGCGTGGGTCAGTTGATCCTGGGTAACATCTTAGTGGAGCTTCAGTTGTGGGTTTGGGACAGCGTGGGTCAGTTGATCCGGGATAACATCTAGGAGGTGCTTCAGTTGTGGGTTTGGGACACCGTGAGTCAGTTGATCCTGGGTAACATCTTGGAGGAGCTTTAGTTGTGGGTTTAGGACACCGTGGATCATTTGATCCTGGGTAACATCTTGGTGGAACTTCAGTTGTGGGTTTGGGACAGCGTGGATCAGTAGATCCGGGATAGCATTTAGGAGCTCCTTCAGTTGTGGGTTTGGGACACCGTGGGTCATTTGATCCTGGGTAACATCTTGGTGGAGCTTCAGTTGTAGGTTTGGGACAGCGTGGATCAGTTGATCCGGGATAGCATCTAGGAGCTCTTTCAGTTGTGGGTTTGGGACACCGTGGGTCAGTTGATCCTGGGTAACATCTTGGTGGAGCTTCAGTAGTGGGTTTAGGACAGTGTGGATCATTTGATCCTGGGAAGCATTTTGGTGAGCCAGTAGTAGGTGGTAAATATGTAGGTGGAGTAAGAGTTGTTGGTCGAGATGGTTGAGGACAATTCGGATCGGGTGAACCTGGATAGCAAACTGGTTTTGGACTAGTTGGCCGCGGGCAACGCGGATCGTTACTTCCAGGATAGCAGTTGGGAGAAGCAGGTGTGGTCGGCTTAGGGCATCGTGGATCTGTACTGCCAGGATAACATTTAGGTTGCGAAGCTGTAGTTGGTTTAGGACAACGAGGGTCGGTACTGCCTGGGTAACAGTTGGGAGGGGCAGGAGTGGTCGTTCTTGGGCATCGAGGATCATTATTTCCTGGATAGCAGTTAGGAGGTGCAGGGGTAGTTGGTTTCGGGCATCGTGGGTCTGTGCTACCAGGGTAGCATTTAGGTTGAGCTGGTGTAGTTGGTCTTGGACAACGAGGATCATTATTTCCAGGATAGCAGTTTGGAGGTGCAGGAGTAGTTGGTTTAGGGCACCGTGGATCTGTGCTGCCGGGGTAGCAGTTCGGTGGAGCGGGAGTCGTTGGTCTTGGACAACGGGTATCTGTGCTTCCAGGGTAGCATTTAGGCTGAGAAGGTGTAGTTGGTCTTGGACAGCGAGGATCATTATTTCCAGGATAGCAGTTAGGAGGAGCAGGCGTTGTTGGCTTAGGACAACGAGGGTCAGTGCTGCCAGGATAGCAGTTTGGCGGAGCAGGGGTGGTTGGTTTCGGGCACCTTGGGTCATTATTGCCTGGGTAACATTTTGGTGTGGCAGTAGTAGGTGGTAGATATGTGGGTGGAGTTAGAGTTGTAGGTCGAGGTGGTTGAGGACAATTCGGGTCAGGTGATCCCGGATAACACACTGGTTTCGGACTAGTTGGTCGTGGGCAACGCGGGTCATTATTTCCCGGATAGCAATTGGGAGGAGCAGGTGTCGTTGGCTTAGGGCATCTTGAGTCTGTACTACCAGGGTAGCATTTAGGTTGAGCTGGAGTAGTCGGTTTTGGACACCGTGGATCCGTAGAACCTGGATAACAGTTCGGTGGAGCGGAAGTTGTTGGCCTTGGACAACGGGGATCTGTGCTTCCCAAATAGCATTTAGGTTGAGAAGGTGTAGTTGGTCTTGGACAGCGAGGATCATAACTTCCCGGATAGCAGTTAGGAGCTGCAGGGGTGGTTGGTTTGGGGCAGCGCGGGTCTGTGCTACCAGGGTAGCAGTTCGGTGGAGCTGGACTAGTCGGTTTTGGACACCGTGGATCCGTAGAACCTGGATAGCAGTTAGGTGGAGTGGGAGTCGTTGGTTTAGGACAACGGGGATCTGTGCTTCCCGGGTAGCATTTCGGTTGAGAAGGTGTAGTTGGTCTCGGACAGCGAGGATCATTATTTCCAGGATAGCAGTTAGGAAGAGCAGGCGTTGTTGGTTTAGGACAGCGCGGGTCTGTGCTGCCAGGATAGCATTTAGGTGGAGCTGGTGTAGTTGGTCTTGGACAACGAGGATCATTATTTCCTGGATAGCAGTTGGGGGGAGCTGGAGTGGTTGCCTTTGGGCACCGCGGATCCGTAGATCCTGGATAGCAGTTAGGTGGAGCGGGGGAAGTTGGTCTTGGACAACGGGGATCTGTGCTACCAGGGTAGCATTTAGCTTGAGAAGGTGTAGTTGGTCTCGGACAGCGAGGATCATTATTTCCAGGATAGCAGTTAGGAGGAGCAGGCGTCGTTGGTTTAGGACAACGAGGGTCTGTGCTACCAGGATAGCAGTTTGGAGGAGCAGGAGTGGTCGGTCTTGGGCATCGTGGATCATTATTTCCTGGATAGCAGTTGGGGGGAGCAGGGGTAGTTGGTTTCGGGCACCTTGGGTCATTGCTGCCTGGGTAACATTTTGGTGCGGCATTAGTAGGTGGTAGATATGTGGGTGGAGTAAGAGTTGTAGGTCGGGGTGGTTGAGGACAATTCGGGTCAGGTGATCCCGGATAACACACTGGTTTAGGGCTAGTTGGCTTTGGACAACGCGGATCAGCACTACCCGGGTAGCATTTGGGTTGTGTTGGAGTTGTTGGCTTAGGACAACGAGGGTCTGAGCTACCAGGAAAGCAGTTTGGAGGAGCAGGAGTGGTTGGTTTTGGGCATCTTGGATCTGAGCTACCAGGATAGCATTTAGGTTGTGACGATGTTGTTGGTTTAGGACAACGGGGGTCGGTACTTTCTGGGTAACAGTTAGGTGGAGCAGGGGTAGTCGGTTTGGGGCATCGTGGATCTGTGCTACCAGGGTAGCAGTTAGGTGGAGCTGGAGTGGTCGGTCTTGGACAACGGGGATCTGTGCTTCCAGGGTAGCATTTAGGTTGAGAAGGTGTAGGTGGCCTTGGACAGCGAGGATCATTATTTCCAGGATAGCAGTTTGGAGGAGCAGGCGTCGTTGGTTTGGGGCAGCGCGGATCTGTGCTACCAGGGTAGCAGTTAGATGGAGCTGGAGTGGTCGGTTTTGGACAACGGGGATCTGTGCTTCCAGGGTAGCAATTAGGTTGAGAAGGTGTAGTTGGTCTCGGACAGCGAGGATCACTATTTCCAGGATAGCAGTTAGGAGGAGCAGGAGTCGTTGCTTTGGGGCAACGAGGGTCTGTGCTACCAGGATAGCAGTTGGGAGGGGCAGAGGTTGTTGGTTTAGGGCATCTTGGGTCATTGTTGCCTGGGTAACATTTGGGTGCGGGAGAAGTAGGTGGCAGATACGTGGGAGGTGTCAAAGTTGTTGGTCTCGGTGGTTGGGGGCACTTCGGGTCAGAGGAGCCTGGGTAACATACAGGTTTAGGACAGCGAGGGTCTGTGCTGCCAGGATAGCAGTTTGGAGGAGCACTGGTGGTTGGTTTTGGACAACGTGGATCAGAGCTACCAGGATAGCATTTAGGTTGCGACGGTGTTGTTGGTTGAGGACAACGGGGGTCGGTACTACCTGGGTAACAGTTAGGGGGTGCAGGAGTAGTTGGTTTGGGGCATCGCGGATCTGTGTTGCCAGGATAGCAGTTAGGTGGAGCTGGAGTGGTTGGTTTCGGACAACGTGGATCTGTAGCACCTGGATAGCAGTTAGGTGGAGCGGGAGTCGTCGGTCTTGGACAACGGGGATCTATGCTTCCCGGGTAACATGAAGGTTGAGCGGGCGTAGTTGGTCTCGGGCAGCGAGGATCATTATTTCCAGGATAACAGTTAGGAGGAGCAGGCGTTGTTGGTTTAGGACAACGAGGGTCAGTGCTGCCAGGATAGCACTTTGGCGGAGCAGGTGTGGTTGGTTTCGGGCATCTTGGATCATTACTGCCGGGGAAACATTTTGGAGCGGGTGAAGTAGGTGGTAGATACGTGGGAGGTGTTAAAGTCGTCGGTCTAGATGGTTGAGGACACTTCGGGTCGGGTGAACCTGGGTAACATACAGGTTTTGGGCTAGTGGGACGCGGACAACGTGAATCTGTGCTGCCAGGATAGCAATTAGGTTGAGATGGCGTCGTAGGTTTAGGGCAACGAGGGTCAGTGCTGCCTGGGTAGCAGTTGGGAGGAGGAGTGGTTGGCCTTGGACAGCGTGGATCTGTGCTACCAGGATAGCATTTTGGTTGAGCTGGTGTAGATGGTCTCGGACAACGAGGATCATTATTTCCTGGATAACAGTTAGGAGGTGCAGGTGTGGTTGGTTTTGGGCACCTTGGATCTGTGTTGCCAGGATAGCAGTTAGGTGGAGCTGGAGTGGTTGGTTTCGGACAACGTGGATCTGTAGCACCTGGATAGCAGTTAGGTGGAGCGGGAGTCGTCGGTCTTGGACAACGGGAATCTGTGCTTCCTGGGTAACATTTGGGTTGAGAGGGTGTAGTTGGTCTCGGGCAACGAGGATTATTATTGCCAGGATAGCAGTTAGGCGGAGCAGGACTTGTTGGTTTAGGACAACGAGGGTCAGTGCTACCAGGATAGCAATTTGGCGGAGCAGGGGTGGTTGGTTTCGGGCATCTTGGATCATTGCTGCCGGGGAAACATTTAGCGGGTGAAGTAGGAGGTAGATATGTCGGAGGTGTTAAAGTCGTCGGTCTGGATGGTTGAGGACATTTTGGGTCGGAGGAACCCGGGTAACATATAGGTTTTGGGCTTGTAGGACGCGGACAACGTGGATCTGTGCTGCCAGGATAGCAATTAGGTTGAGATGGTGTCGTAGGTTTAGGGCAACGAAGGTCGGTGCTACCTGGGTAGCAGTTGGGAGGAGCAGGAGTGGTTGGCCTTGGACAGCGTGGATCTGTGCTACCAGGATAGCATTTTGGTTGAGATGGTGTTGTCGGTTGTGGGCAACGGGGGTCGGTACTACCTGGGTAGCAGTTGGGAGGAGCAGTTGTAGTCGGTCTTGGGCATCGAGGATCATTGTTTCCGGGATAGCAGTTAGGAGGAGCGGGCGTTGTTGGTTTAGGACACCGAGGGTCATTGCTGCCCGGGAAACATTTAGGTGCGGGTGAAGTAGGCGGAAGATATGTTGGAGGTGTCAAAGTGGTTGGTCTGGATGGTTGAGGACACTTCGGATCAGTCGAGCCTGGGAAACAAACTGGTTTTGGGGAAGTTGGTCGCGGACAACGTGAATCTGTGCTGCCAGGATAGCAATTCGGAGGAGCAATAGTCGTTGGTTTAGGGCAACGAGGATCGGTACTACCTGGGTAACAGTTGGGAGGAGTGGGCGTGGTTGGTTTCGGACAACGTGGATCTGAGCTGCCCGGATAGCATTTCGGTTGTGATGGTGTTGTTGGTTGAGGACAACGGGGGTCGGTACTACCTGGGTAACAGTTAGGAGGTGCAGGAGTAGTTGGTTTGGGGCATCGCGGATCAGTGCTACCCGGATAACAGTTCGGTGGCGCAGGTGTTGTCGGCCTTGGGCATCGAGGATCATCATTTCCTGGATAGCAGTTAGGAGGGGCAGGGGTGGTCGGTTTGGGGCATCTTGGATCTGTGCTACCAGGATAGCATTTTGTTTGAGATGGTGTCGTTGGTTGAGGACAACGAGGGTCGGTGCTACCTGAGTAGCAGTTGGGAGGAGCAGGAGTGGTTGGCCTTGGACAGCGTGGGTCATTACTTCCAGGATAACAATTAGGAGGTGCAGGAGTTGTTGGCTTAGGGCATCGAGGGTCTGTGCTTCCTGGGTAACAGTTAGGTGGTGCAGGTGTTGAAGGCTGTGGACAACGGGGATTAGTGCTACCAGGATTACATACAGGAATAGCTGGTGTAGTTGGTTTCGGACAGCGAGGATCATTATTTCCTGAATAACAGTCAGGAGGTGCAGGGGTGGTCGGTTTTGGACACCGTGGATCCGTAGAACCTGGATAGCAGTTAGGTGGAGCGGGAGTCGTTGGTATTGGACAACGGGGATCTGTGCTTCCTGGGTAGCAGGTGGGAGGTGCAGGTGTTGTTGGTTGAGGACACCGAGGGTCTGTGCTACCAGGATAGCATTTAGGTGCGGTAGAAGTAGGTGGGAGATAAGTAGGTGGCGTCAACGTCGTTGGTCTTGGTGACTGTGGACAACTTGGCTCAGGTGATCCTGGATAACACACTGGTTTTGGACTAGTTGGTCGAGGACAACCAAGGTCAGTGCTTCCAGGGTAACATTTTGGTTGAACTGGTGTTGTTGGACACCTAGGGTCAGTGCTGCCTGGGTAGCAGTTTGGTGCAGATGGCGTGGTTGGTCTTGGACATCTAGGGTCAGTGCTACCTGGGTAGCAGTTTGGTGCAGATGGTGTAGTTGGTTTTGAACATCTAGGGTCAATGCTGCCTGGGTAGCAGTTTGGAGGAGCTGAAGTGGTTGGTCTTGGACATCTAGAGTCAGTACTGCCTGGGTAGCAGTTTGGTGCAGATGGTGTAGTTGGTCTTGGACATCTAGGGTCAGTGCTGCCTGAAGAGCAGTCTGGAGTAGATGGCGTGATTGGTCTTGGACATCTAGGGTCAGTGCTGCCTGGGTAACAGTTTGGAGGAGCTGGAGTGGTTGGTCTTGGACATCTAGGGTCAGTGCTGCCTGGGTAGCAGTTTGGAGTAGCTGGAGTGGTTGGTCTTGGACATCTTGGGTCAGTGCTGCCTGGGTAGCAGTTTGGAGGAGCTGGAGTGGTTGGTCTTGGACATCTAGGGTCAGTGCTGCCTGGGTAGCAGTTTGGAGGAGCTGGAGTGGTTGGTCTTGGACATCTTGGGTCAGTGCTGCCTGGGTAGCAGTTTGGAGGAGCTGGAGTGGTTGGTCTTGGACATCTAGGGTCAGTGCTGCCTGGGTAGCAGTTTGGAGTAGATGGCGTGGTCGGTCTTGGACATCTAGGGTCAGTACTGCCTGGGTAGCAGTCTGGTGCAGATGGCGTAGTTGGTCTTGGACATCTAGGGTCAGTACTGCCTGGGTAGCAGTTTGGAGGAGGTGGAGTGCCTGGTCCTGGGCATCTAGAGTCAGTGCTGCCTGGGTAGCAGTTTGGAGTAGATGGCGTGGTCGGTCTTGGACATCTAGGGTCAGTACTGCCTGGGTAGCAGTTTGGAGTAGATGGCGTGGTCGGTCTTGGACATCTAGGGTCAGTGCTGCCTGGGTAGCAGTTTGGTGCAGATGGTGTAGTTGGTTTTGGACATCTAGGGTCAGTGCTGCCTGGGTAGCATGTTGGTGCAGATGGCGTGGTTGGTCTAGGACATCTTGGGTCATTCGATCCGGGAAAGCATTTAATCTGTGAATCGGTAGTTTGTCTGCAACGAGGATCATTGGAACCTGGATAACATTGTGGGCTTATAGTTGTTGTTATCTCTTGAATTCCTTGGCAGTTGGCGTCGCAGTTGCTCGTACACAGCTGAAAGGTATACGATGTTAGTTTAGGGGTTCAGTAACGTTGAAAACTAATACTGTTGCGATGTTTTTCTTATTAAACTTACTTCAACGTTGCAAGTTAGATACACTTGATCTGTTTCAGGGAAACGGAAAGCGCTGACTTTGCTATAGGAGATCACTGTAGCTCCACTTTTACCAGTATTGGTTGTCTTCTGCCATAAGTCGATTAACTTCCTTTTTCTGTAAGAGTTGATTAATACATTAGGATTTATTAATGACTGCAACGTGCATACGTTGCCCCATTATTTTTATCGCCGTTTGTAATTGAAATATATGTGGTTACTGTTTTATGTTTACACTAGTGGCCCGCCCTCGCTTCGCTTCGGTATTTTATCCCCTTGGGGGTAGAATTGATCAAAATCCTTTCTGAGCGGATGCCTACGTCATAACATCTACCTGCATGCCAAATTTCAGCCCGATCCGTCCAGTGGTTTAGGCTGTGCGTTGATTGACCTTTGAGTTTTATATATATAGATTTACAAAATAGGTACACCTATTATTTTTCTTGCGGTGAAAAATCGTGCGTATATTGTCTCAAAGATTATAGAATAATTTTGTGTTGGTGAACCGATTGGCGTCGTCGTTGCATTCAATACGTTACTAGTTTGCAGTTCATTCGTAGAGAGTAGGCGACCGTGCGCGTCTGTCATTCTTTAAATTTTCATTGGCAATTAGTTAAACTAGTTGTTTCTATTTTTGATGTCATAAATTACTAAAGTATTGACCAATTTTGCACATTTGAGTATAGATGTGGGGCGGAGTATTTTGTCGGACCTATGTCTTAAAAAAATAACATAAAACAAAACAGGCAATTCATACTTAGGGCATCCTTCTTTATCAGTTAATTGAATCTTGCTAGTCTTAGGACTGTCGTAGTTTTCATTGTCATATGCCCAACAGTCATGGATCTTCAAGCTGAACTGATTCCTCACGTCCTTCAGGTACACAAGTATAGTAAGATATTCGCCAATCTTAATGGAATCCTTCAAAGGAGTTGTCTGAAACAATATTATCAATATAAGTTATTATTCAATTGTTTACTCTTTTAACAACATCTCCCGGCATTGCCATGTTTTTGTAAGGGAACACTAGCATCAACCGAAAGTATTAGTAATTAAATCAAACTTACGTTAGGGAAGACTCCTTTTTGTATATCCATCCAGCATTCAACTCCACCGGCGGGTCCTTGAACTGCAACTACATCGAGCATATCGACCATGAAGGGTTTAAGCTTGAGGGTGTGTGTCTCCTCTCTGGTGCCAACACCAGCTGAGACTTCAAGAGATGTGCTTGCACAGGACACCTGAAAGATTAGATTGGTCATTGTTATTTTGTCCGTGTCCAGTGAGAATACATAGGAAAATCTTCTACCATTCAAATATCATGATGTCATTGCCAGGTAGAATCATAAGATGCTTGCTCAATATTAGGTACAATAAATTAATGACTTCGAAGTTTAATTATTGAAGTAATATGTAAGCATTGCTGCAGACATGTCGTAATGAAAATGTCATTCTTGACTTTCTGTTTAATACCCAAGAACCACGTGTGAAACTTCAGTTTAAGTAAACGCAACTTGCGTGTTTCAAACATTGCACCATAAGACTTAAAAATATAAATAGTGCTACACATTCTGATAAAAATGCGTATTCATTCAGTATTAAATACAAAACCATTAACGATCTTGATAAATCAAAGATAATTAGCCTTAAATGGTATTGGATGTGTGACCAAAATGCGTCTTTAGTTCTTTTAGAGGCATAGGAAACGACATAACCTACTAAGATTGACGTTTGGGTTCACGTAGTGGATTATGATACATTCTTGTTTATATAATTCTGTCGATAGGAATTGGGGTACAGTTCCACATTATAATAAATGGATAATACATAATTTATACCCACTTACAGTAAACTTAATTTATTTTAAATAAAAAACCCCATTAAGTTTCCATAACACAAACCTTACAGTGATTACATTGGGGCTAATCTAATCTGTGTAATTATAAAAAAATATACCTAATTCTATCTCTGTTTAACATAGAACAATTGACGCAGATGGAATATTTCTTGAACAGGACTACGCCTTAATTTAAATAAGATTGATGACTACTTTTTTCTTCTTCTTCTGTTAGGTAACTAGATTATCAAAAAGTAATGCACTCGTATTTTGACGTCACGTCTTGGTACAATATTCACTTAATGTGAATTTTGTTAGTGTCACGAGCCGCGAACAAGCCCCGAACTCCCAAACTTAAACGCGCTTTGTCATTGTAATATTTAAGTTGATTGACAAAAGAAAAAATAAGCATTCATTTCTATTTAATAACCTAACTGACGGACTAAATTCTATTCGTTTATTTTACCACGACATCATCTCTATTAAGAATGTTGGGTCTTACAGTGTCAATGTTTTGAATAGTTTTGACCTTAACATATCTGACCTTTCTTGCGAAGTCTTGAGGACCCTGGACGAAGTCGTCGGCCTGGAACACGAGCACATTGTCGATGGTACCACAGGCGTTGCACAAGGGTCTAGAGCCGCATCCTTTAAGGGGTACACGGAATGAGTACCGGGATTGGCTGCCTCCGAGGGAAACATATCTGCAAGAATATCAATAATTCAATTTCTATACGGTGCAAGTAGCTGGAGGAAGAAGGAGCAAGTAAAGATGCGGGTTACTCACGCGAGTAACCCGCATCTTTACTTGCGCCAGCTACTTGTACAAGTTACTCGCTTATTCTTATAGATGGTGCAAATGACTGGAGCAAATAAAGACACTGGCTACTTGCGCTAGCAGAACGCACAAGTTATGAACCTGCCGTGTCGCATTTGCGCACGTTTGAATCTGCGCAAGTTACATGCGCAAGTGATCTGCGTGCGCCGCAAAACTCTCGGATTAGTTGCGCGGGTGGCTCGCTCTGGTACATGCTCGTGTTGCTCAACCCGCATATGTTTTCGCATGGAGTTTTCACGATGCACATAACCTGCGCAAGTGCCTCAACATGCTCAAGTTACTTGCGACGTGTAGAAGCACCCGTTTTAGTTGTCAAACGACTGAGGAACACGTTATTCAACAGTAAGGTAAATGTCAAGTATCTGTAATTGTTGTCACGGCTGCTCACATTTCACCGTGTAATAATGTAAAATTGAAAGTGAGATAAAGTGCCGTGAAAATTTGAAAGTGAGATTAAAATATCAGGATGGAGTTATGAATCCCTTAATAGACGTTTTGATTTTTTTACAATAGGTAAATGTATCTTAGGAAGCAAAGGAACACTTTTTAAAGTAATAAACACACCCACAAATAATTAAAATGTAAAACAAAACTTACTTGCAACTCGGATCGTTTAAGAAGCCCTTGCTGTAAAGATTCCATCGTAAATATCGGGGAAGTCAACAGCGACATCGATGCAGTCGCCGGAGCACTGGACGTCTATATCTGGCGAGAGGAGAGAGTCAGCAGCCCTGGAGCCTCTCATGAACGTGACGCTGGAGTCTTCACCAGTGGCTTAGAAGAAGACGTACAATTCGTTGCCAGACAGCAAGAGATAAAACACATGAAACAAAACTTACTTGCAACTCGGATCGTTCAAGAAGCCCTTGCTGTAGATGATTCCGTCGTAAACATCAGGGAAGTCCACAGTGAGATCGATGTAGTCGCCGGAGCATTGGACGTCTATATCTGGCGAGAGGGGAGAGTCAGCAGCCCTGGAGCCTCTCATGAACGTGACGCCGGAGTCTTCATCGCTGGGCTCGTAGAAGACGGACAAGTCGTTGCAAACCAGCAAGAGAAAAAAGACATGAGACAAAACTTACTTGCAACTCGGATCGTTCAAGAAGCCTTTGCTGTAGATGATTCCATCGTAAACATCGGGGAAGTCCACAGTGACATCGATGTAGTCGCCGGAGCATTGGACGTCTATATCTGGCGAGAGGGGGGAGTCGGCAGCCCTGGAGCCTCTCATGAACGTGACGCCGGAGTCTTCATCGCTGGCCTCGTAGAAGACGGACAAGTCGTTGCCGGCCAGCTGCAGGTTCAGCTCCGCAGCCGTGAGGGTGTTGGCGCCATCGGAAGCAGCTGTAGCTAGCGACAGCTGGAAGGGAGAAAATAAATTGGGAACGTCAGTTCACATCTATACTGATGATGAAATTAGATAGTATCTAGGTAGCTTTGTTAATATATTGTTTTAAACTTTCATGTTCACTAACATTATAGTAGTTATTTACGGGATTGTTATCATGTACCTTGTTTTTAGCGAGTTTCCGATAGTTTGGCACTGTTGCAAGCGCCATGATCACGGAGTAACAGTTACTGTTTGTGCAGTTACTCCGTGATCATGGCGCTTGCAACAGTGCCGAAACTCGCTAAAAACAAGGTACATGGTAACAATCCCGTAAATAGCTTTGCTAAGTTTATACACCTAAACCGTCCGATTTTGAAGTTTTTTTTGCATAGTCTGTTTAGCTTTCGCCGATTTTTTCATGAAAGTAGAACTCAAAAGAATGTTATAGGAGGTGAACGAAGTTTCGTGGAAAAAATAGTAGGTAGGTATTAAATTCAGGTGTTTGGAAGTGCAGTACTCCTAGCACGAACCGATATCGAATTCGTATCGTTTGCGAGTCCGAAATGTCATTGTCAAATGTGTACTGATTTTTAGTTCTCGTTACGTACTTTGTGCCGCTGCTGTTCAAGTTTCTATACAAAATTTGATATTGACATTTCGTTTAGCAAACTATTCGAATTCGATAATGGTTCGTGCTAGGGGTACAGTAGTTGTTAGTTTTGTGATTACTGGAATCGATCTCTCTTCGCCATATTCAGTAATCGGTTGGGTGACGAAAATTTTATTATTGGTTTATGAGTAGATTTTATTAAGTTCTTGTCATAAAAACACATTTTTTTATATTTCTGTTATTGAATTCCATTAGGTGTTTTATGTTAAATTTTCTAACTAGAGAAAGGATTTTTTTTGGATGGACATTTCTACAGATATTGTGAATATCGTCGGGTGGAATTTTAACTCTGCGATGGAGTGGAGACTCTTTGGGGAGAAAGATGTTTTCCACTTGAATCATTCGGAATTTCCTTGCTTGAGGTCCCCTAAGGATCTGGCCGACCCTATCCTGGTGACGTTGTTAAGGTCACTTTACTAGCGTGTAAAGTCGAAGCGCATCGAAGCGAACTTCAGAAATGTCACAAAGCAAATTTTCCCCTATCTCCGCAGCATAATATACCTATAAAAATACATATTCCTTCTGAGATAAAAAGAAGACCCGCGAATTTGCGAGCATTCGACTTCACATTATCAGCTCAGAAGGAATATGTTAATTACATTGCGGAGATAAGGTTGACTTTGGTATGTTACTGTTTCTAAAATTCGCTTCAATGCGCTTCGTCTCTGCTCTAGTATGAATTGACCTTTATAGATCATCTGTTTTTGCGACCAATAAATAAATAAATAATAAATATTAATAAATATTTCCGACACTCACACCAATTAGCCTAGCCCCAAAGTAAGCACTGTAAGGCTTGTGTTATGGGATGCTAGGGTAACGGGTGGAATTCATAATAATATATATAAGTATAATACATATACCGTACATTTATATAGAAATACATATTAAACATGGATGACTGGAGTACAAATGCTCGTAACATTCACACAAACATCTGCCCTCACCGGGATTCTAACCCGGGATCTCTCGAGTCAGCGACACCATGAAACCCGGCGTACAAACCACTCGGCCACGGAGGTCGTCAACCAATCAATAGCATAGACTCTCAAGAAAAAAGAAACCTATTAGAAGTAGTTAAGCATTATCATCATCAGCCTATTAATTCCCACTGCTGGGGCACAGAGCTTCTGCTTCTCTATGGATGGAATAGGAAGATTAGATCTAACCCACTACACGGGACTAATGCGGATTGGAGGGTGCTAACAAGCGCAGATGTAGCATGGACCAACAGTTTAGCACGCCTTCCGAAGCAAGGAGGAGCTCGAGATAGTTAATTTTTGGTTACCCATCCCATTGGATCATTACCAACCACTGCAAAAGTTGCTTAGCTACAACAATTGCAGCCGAACGCGCTATCTACTTGCAGTAGTAGTTAGTTAGTAGGTAAGTAGTTCAATAAACAGTGTTTCCACGCTAATGATTTCGCTTCACGACATTTTTCCCCTCACAAATTATTCTGCTGTAGTTTTTAATTTTGGCACTAGTGTAGTATCTCCAAAAAGCGAATCTTTAAAAAAAAAAGACTAGTTATAATTTTTATAATTTTAAAGCATGTAACTGCTTGATGTTTAAAACTAAAGAAAATATAACTGGAAAAATTTCCACGCGGACCAGGCAGCAGACGGGACTCGAACCCGCACCCTTCGCAATCCGGGCGAATGCACTGACCAATTATGCTACCGCGGCCCTCACGGACCGCGTCGAAATTCTTCTAGCCATTCTTAAGCTGCAAGGCAGCGCCATCTCTTCGCATTATAGGTCCGTGAGGGCCGCGGTAGCATAATTGGTCAGTGCATTCGCCCGGATTGCGAAGGGTGCGGGTTCGAGTCCCGTCTGCTGCCTGGTCCGCATGGATTATTTTCTAGTTACATTTTCTTTAAAAATAGACTAAGCATGAATAATGTATAATTCAACAGTTCGTATTCTTATTGATAACTTGACCAGAAATATATAAAATCTGCACGTGTTGCCACAGTTTATTTTATACGGCAACACTAGTCCATGGTATAGTCCATAAAAAGGTAGTTCCGAAATTTTCCGCAATATTTTAGGCTAGACTACCCAAGATTTCCCCTTTTCATGTCTTTTTCCTTTTTCTTCCCCTCTGGACCCTAATTTCCCCTTAAAAGGAAAATTTCTCCTCATTGTCGAAACACTGTCAATAAAACATAATATGAAGGTCACGATATTTTTCTTTTACAAATATCAATTAAGTATGAATTGATTTATTTACACACACATATCACAAGTATCGGGTGCAACGTTGTAATTATAATTATATCTCTAATAATTTATTGTTCTATTCAAATACAATGCGTTTTTTTTCCTATCTCACGCACATTTCGCGTACCTAACTACCTACATGTGAATAATGAAACGTGTCCATTGTTGTTCTATGACAATATTATTTTTGGTTAAAACACGAGCTTGTAACATTTTTGTTACATTAATAATAATTATGAGATTGCATGTTAATTACGACGGCGTACATAATTTTGGGAGTTTTTAAAACTAACTATCATATCCTAAATATGAAAACAAAAATACGCGTGGCACTTGGGGATTGCCGACGTAAAGCTATTGCGTAGCATTATTAAGCATATAAATTAATACACTGCGCCGTTTCGATAGATACTGGAAAGGCGAAAATTGTGTTCATATGCATTCTTGTCAGGTTACTTTCGTTACAGAATTTCTTGATTCGGTCGCCGCGCTCAAAGCCTGTGATAAAATCTATGCAATAGCTTAAAAAACTCTACCCTTATTGCAGTATTGCAATGTCTTAGAATAGAATGAAAATATATCAACCCTTTTTTACTTACACAAATATTATAAAAAGTGTGTTTTTTAATTCGACTAATTGCTTTTGCCAAGTGCTTTACGTCTACTTGAAAGATATATCTAAACTTCTAAGCATAGTCAGGTTCTCTCCCACTGCCGCGACCAGAGTACGACGCTGCTGCGACCACGCAAGACACTCTTCCAGGGTGTGACGAGAAGAGCAGCCCCGCACTCTGGATCCAATGCAGATACAGTCCTGAAAACCCGTGCCCGAACAATAACTGCACCAACTAAAAAAGTCAACGACCCAAATCTCCGCGGCATTTCACTCCTCAAGGAGCGCGTCTTTTCGGTGTGCGTTTCTCGTATGAAGAAGATTCTAGCATTTCAATTTCCGTAACATAAGTTTTTTTTTATGTAAAAAAAATAAGTTTAACATTCAGCTTATGGCTCGCCTGATGGTAAGCGGTCATCATAACCTATAGACGCTTGCTATACCAAAAATATAGCTTGTACCCCGACCCCATTAAATATATCGTGGACCGCTGGAACCTGACTTATCGTCAAAAACACAACACCACCAAAAAATAGTATTATTTTATTTGTTACTTTATTGACGTTTCGACTTAAAATCAAATCATAATAGGGGTAATTACGGGGTACAATAAACGAAATTCTATATAGTCCGTCAGTTAGATGATCAAAAAATAATGGACACGTATTTTTTCTTTGGGTAATCAACCAAAAAATGACAAAGTTATAGCGCGTCAAAGTTTGGGAGTAGGGCCTCGTGACGTCACTTTTAAATGAAAATTGTACCAAAATGTGACGTCATGCGACTTCTCAAATCAACATGTCTCTGCAATGTTTATATATGTGAGAAAAGAAAAAATACGTGTCCAATACTTTTTGATAATCTACCTGATAAACGAAGAAAAAAAAAATACTCATCATCCCTATTCTGCAGACCAACTAAGCTTGAAAATGATGCAAAACGTCAACGTCAATAAACAAAGAAATCAGTGCATCTATACCGTTGAAACTAGTTTTATTTAATGAGTGGTATGCGTGAAAGCCTGAACTTGTACTGAAGCTGAAACTTGTTTTATTTAGTATTATTTTACAGTGATATTCTGCTAGGTGGAGTTTAATTTCCTTCTGCGAATCAGTGATGGGGCAGAAGGGCCCTCTGACGTAGACGGGTGGGCCGAAGAAGGCAGGCAGCCGTGACTGCCGGTCTTCGTCGGTCCTAAGATGGTCTGGGCACGGCTTGGCCGCCGCGTGCCCTAGGTGTCATTCGGCATAGGCCACCCCGTCTGGGGATTGCCTCGTATCCTAGCGCAATCCCCCAGAGGCGTGTCGCCCAGTCCACTCGTTGAGCTGGGCCGGCCTGGGGGCGTCCCGGTGAAATGGTCCAATACAAACGGAAAACCTCCTCCAACCTCTTTTGCGTAGACTTCAATTACTTTTCACTTATGTATACTCAAGATTGACCCAGACATTCAAAATATCAGATTAATTTTCCTCGTTTTTGTAATTATCTCGCACCTTAATAACATAATCTGTACTTAATTGGGCAATTCTGGTTAAACATCAAAATGGTTAACATTACAAAATTTATAGATGCGCGTTCTGTGTACGGTTCAACTTTGACCTAAAGATCGGAACGTAATGACGTAACAGTGAATTTTGTGTGGATCTTGTTGTGCTGTTAAAACACCACATAGTTATGTAAACGATGCCTCATGATGATTGCTGGACACATTTTAGGAATGAGATACGACCAATTATTTTTATTGTACCTACCTGTACGAAAGCAGAATTTATACTAGATTTATTGACGAAATTTAGGAAATTATTCTCAAAGTGTTGTGATGGTGCTACTGTGACAAATTCAGAAAATAGTTGTGATTTTCCCAAAAGTAAAACTTATGGTTTTGTTTAATAAGAGTTGATGTAGAAGTTTGTATAGAATCGTTGTAGTTGGGTAGCCCAAGTGGTTATTTTGCCGCGGTTAAGTAATCATCATCATCAGCCTATTAATGTCCCCACTGCTGGGGCACAGGCCTTCCCTATGGATGGAATAGGGAGATTGGGCCATGACCCACCACGCGGGCCCAGTGCAGATTGGTGGGTGCTAACGACTGCAGATGCAGCCGGGATCAACGGCTTAACGTGTCTTCCGAAGCACGGAGGAGCTCGAGATACAAAATTTTTGGTCACCCATCCAATGACCGACCACTGCGAAAGTTGCGGTCTAGTAAACCCCTACTATCGTTTTAGCCGTAGTGTTTCACATTCTAGACTTGCGACAGTCAATTTTCGTCAGCCATTCAGACAGTTGCTTAACTTCCACGAACGCGCTAACTACTGTGCCATCGAGCTCCTTAACTTATGTGCCCTTTAAATATAAATAAGGTAATTTATAAATGATTGCTGCGCTACGAACTTTACAATTGGATATGTTCAATCAAAAAAGTCTGAGCAATATGTTTCATTTAAGTACGCAAACTGCAATATTGTACTATATTATAATTTGTATTATTAATCCTCAGCCTATTAATGCCCCCACTGCTGCGGCATAGTCCTTCCCTATGGATGACATAGGGAGATTGGGCCATGACCCAGCAAGCGGGCACAGTGCGGATTGGCGGGTGCTAACGACTGCAGATGCAGCCGGGACCAAGGACTTAACGTGCCTTCCGAAGCACAGCAACGACCATTGCGAAAGTTGCTTAACTTCAACGATCGCAGCTGAACGCGCTAGCCACCTGCGCCACCGAGATCCTTATGAAATGAAATGTATATTCAAAGGTTTATTTCTTTAGTCCCTAATAAAAATAAAAAGAGGAGCTCGATGGCGCAAGTGGTTAGCGCGTTCGGCTGCGGTCGTTGAAGTTAAACAACTTTCGCAGTGGTCGGTCATTGGATGGGTGACCAAAAATTTATTATCTCGAGCTCCTCCGTGCTTCGAAAGGCACGTTAAGCCGTTGGTCCCGGCTGCAACTGCAGTCGTTAGCACCCACTAATCCGCACTGGGCCCGCGTGGTGGGTCATGGCCCAATCTCCCTATTCCATCCATAGGGAAGGCCTGTGCCCCAGCACTGGGGACATTAATAGGCTGATGATGATGATGATGATGATGAAAAATAAAAAAATTAAAATAATAAATGAAATTGTAAGTGCTATTTAAAATATCGAACAATAGATGTGCCCTGCGGTTGCACCCGCATTAACTTGTGGAAAAAGGATGAGTCACCCCTAAAAATGTAGATATATGTTGTCGCAGACTTTCCTATAGAACTTACAAAGGGGAACAATTGCAACGTACATGATTTTTGTATAACTTTTACCGTTTGTTTCCGTTTTGGCAACATTTCTCATAAATGCTCCGCTGGACTATCCAGCACAAAAATATTTTTTCGAATCGGACCAGTACCCTTAGTGGTTGGTGCTAAGGGAAGTACCCCTAGCACGAACCATTATCTAATTCGAATAGTTTGCAAACCGAAATGTCAAAGTCAAATTTTGTATGGAAACTTGAACAGCAGCGGCACAAAGTACGTAACGAGAACTAAAAATCAGTACACATATGACAATGACTTTTCGGACTCGCAAACGTTACGAATTCGATATTGATTCGTGCTAAGGGTAATGTGGTTCCTAAGATTTGCGAGTTCAATCAAACAAACAAACTCTTCAGCTTTATAACAGTCGTATAGATTGCTGTGTTATGAACTTTAGATTTTGTTATTATGTATTTATAAAGCGAGTTTTTTGTTCTTATATATTTTCCCAACGAGGTCTACTTAGATTTATGATGCCATTATGAATATTTATTTAGTTTTTTTGATATAGATTAGTGGATTTATTAATTTATTTTAATTTATTACTGCGTGACCTCTTGCTCCGCTTTGATTTAGTCAATAAATAGTTTTTGTTCTTTAATCATCAAAATATATCCAGCTGTCAAGTTGTGGTGAAAACCGCATGAAAACATGTTCTGTTGTTATTCTGTGTATCTTTTGTGCGAATATATAAGTACGCATGTAGCTTCAATGTGGACTTTGTTTTATTAATATGTTTTAACTAGCTGTGCCCCGCGGTGTTACCCGCGGTTAATAAGGGCTATTTTCCCGCAGTGAACCGTAGCCTATGTGTTAATCCAGGGTATCAGCTAACTCCATACCAAATTAAGTTAAAATCGCTCTAGCCGTTTAGACGTGAAGTAATAACAAACATTTACACTCACAAACTTTCGCCTTTATAATATTAGTGTGATTTCACTAATAAACGGTTAGATTTTTGTATTTGTAGTAATTTGTACTAAAAAAAATTCAAGTCTTTTAAGAGAGGTAGGGCATAGCGGATTTTCCGCTCGAAGTGGAGCGCCCGTCTGGGGAAGTAACCTCCGCCTTACAGAAGACCACAGTAAAATAACACTACCTTTTGGTGGTGCTGTCACAATACATACAAGAGCAGTACTTTGACTTCATACTAGCGCCCGAATCGACGCACGCACCCAGACAAACGTCATTAACACGGCCTCTAACCAATCTTGGCAAGACATATCTACGCAGTGCCACGTCGCGCGCCGCCGAGTCTGGTCGATGGCCGAGGTAGGTTAGCTGCGCCGCGCCGCCCGCACCGTCTGCCTCCGTTTCGATTCCGTAACGTGGCAATAGTAACTATACACATACAATAAAAATCGACACTAATCTATTTTACATTTTGTAGGAACCAACCCTAGAAACCCAAAAAAATACTAAAAACGCGAACTGCGATGTCGTTCAGTCATATATCTACCTTGGAGTATTGATTTCGGGCAACGGTGGATGTGCAGATGAAGTCAAGCGGCGCATGACAGTCATGAGGTCAGCTATGGACAAACTTCAAAAAATATGCAGAAACAGGAACATCACAAAAGCCACAGCCTTTAGTGTTTCCCATATTCCTCTATGGTGCTGAGACGTGGACCTTGCGAGAGAGTGAGAAAAAGAAGATAGACGCTCCAGAAATATGATGCTGGAGGAAAATGCTTGGCATAGAGTGGACACAATTCCGAACCAATGCATCCATCCTCCAGGAACTGTCCATCAAACAACGTCTGTCTTCCATCGTACAAGGTCGTATTCTAACTTTCTTTGGCCACATCTCACGCCGAGAAGATGCGTCAGTGGAACGACTGGTGGTGCTGGGCAAAGTCGAGGGCGTAAGAGCGCGGCAGATCACCAATGCGCTGGACTGACCAGATAAAAGCGGCACTGAATGGTCCACTTCACGAGTGCACGAGAAAGGCCACAGTTCGGGACGAATGGCGGGGTATTTTGAAGCGCGCCACCAACCCTGATGTGACGACCACGACCACTCTGCCAAGAGTGTAGCGCCGAAGAAGAAGGGACCAACCCTAGCGCTCCGCTCAGTCGTAGGTATCTATTTCAAGAAAATGGCTGAGTTACGCTACTGCTCTTGTATGTATTGTGGTGTTGTGTTTCTGTCAGTGAGTAAGGTACTAGGGCTCCACGGGGCAGGGGCAATCCCCTACCCTTATCAGGGTAGGCATTAGAGCGAGTGATATTTTTGTATCACAAGCGTCTACGGGCTATGATGGCCGCTTACCGTCAGGCGGGTCATAAGGTTGTTTGTCAAACTTTAACAGCAGACGCGAGCTGAGAGATATTTGAGAAATACTTATTATGTATTTTTTTAAGCATTTAACTTCTAGATGTTTAAATCTAAAGAATTTTTTTACTAGAAAAAAAAACAGGCGGACCAGGCAGCGGACGGGACTCGAACCCGCACCCTTCGCAATCCGGGCGAATGCACTGACCAATTAAGCTACCACGGCCCTGATGGCCGCGTCGAGATTTTTCTAGCCTTAAGCCTTTACCTTTATTTTTGTTTGTAAGCGGAAAACATTGCCGGCCATGCTCTTAAACAAAAAAAAATACAAAAAAGAAAAAAACAAAAAAATTCCCCAGATAACTTGAGCTTAAGGAGGCTTAAACAATACCGCTAACGTCGGGGGTATAAATATCTTTTTATCTGCTTACCTGCACGAGAGCGATCAGTGCCGCTATGCGCATGACAGCCGCTTCATGGGGCCCTGAAACAATTCAAAATAACATTAATAAAATTATTCTTCAATATTATTGCTTAGAAAATAACGAACTTAAACGCAATATCTAAGCGTCTTCATTCCTATACTAGCGGCCCGCCCTCGCTTCGCTTCGATGTAGATTACAGTTTTTGTTCTCAGGCTTGTATTATAATACAATGACATTCATCTATGATTCTTCTTATACCTGCATGCAAAGTCTCAGCCCGATCGGTTTAAAATTGACAAAGTTTCATTCCCTTTTTTATCTCCTTGGGGGTAGAATTGATCAAAATCTTTTCTTAGCGGATGCCTACGTCATAACATCTACCTGCATGCCAAATTTCAGCCCGCTCCGTTCAGTGGTTTGGGCTGTGCGTTGATAGATCACTATGTCAGTCAGTCACCTTTGAGTTTTATATAAAAAAACTCAAAGGTATATATATATATAGCAACACGGACGCGACCCAGAGGTCTAGGGATGCAAAGTCTTTTGAAATATCGATATTTATGTCGATATTTATATCGAAGTCAGGCAAATATTGATATCCGATATATCGACCATTTTAACTCGATATTATCGATATATCGATAGTTTTTTCTTTTTTTTGCTTTGTATTAAATTTGCAAAGCAAAAACCTAAGATTAAGGAAGCAAAGGTTTCCGAAATATCGATATTTATAATGTGGGCAGGTAAATATCGATATCCGATCAGATATGTCAGCTATTCCAACATTTCCAACACAATATTTTCTATATTTTTTATAGCGCTGTAAGAAGTATCAAATCAAAAGCAATTTCGAATCAAAGACATTTATTTTGTTTAAAATATTTGCACGCAGCCAAAATCAGAGTAGATAATCATATGAAAAACAATTGTTATGAATTAGTAAATCCTACACATCAGGCTTCAGAATAGGGTAAGCCCAAAGCTTCTAAAATTACTATACCTATCTTACTTTCTTGACTTGGCGAGCTTAAAAAATTTACGATTTGTATAAGATTCTTAATTTTATTTTGTGTTATATTACAATGATATTAAATTTCAATTAATCAGTAGTTGACAATTATCTAGAGAGGCAAGGATTTTATTTAAGTGCATGAGTTACCATTAGGTATACGATTATACCTTTAAACGTTGGTGTCGATTCTGGCATGATTATCTAAATTTAAAACTAAATTTAACATCAGTCTCTCCTTTTCATTCTGTATAGAGAATGAGAAGGATACACTGTTGTTAAATTTAATTTTAGGTTTAGAGAAACATGCCAGAGTCCACACCAGTTTAGTATATTTCTTGGGGTTCAAGATTTTTTTAATACATCTATAAGCTCTTGCAATTTCAAAGCAACAGTTATTTCGATATTATTCAATTTAGATAGTCATAGCAGGTAAATTAATTGATATTATTGTGTTCAAATTAAGTCAAATATCGATATTTTGGAATTTCCGATATCGATATTATCGATATCAGTGAATTTTAAATATCGATATAAATATCGATATTTTGGTCTCGATATTATCGATAATATCGATATTCCGATATATCGTTGCAACCCTACAGAGGTCCTTCGCGGATAAAAGTTCACTGTATGCGTTGCCGCGCCTAGTCACATAAGTTCTATTTTTGAAGTGATAACTTGTTATGGGAGGGTAAACCGCTTCGTAACGCAATGCGTTACGGCGCCAGTCTGTCTGGCTTCCCCTCCTCTCACGCATACGGTAACGGTAGGCAGGCTCCTCCTCTCTCACTCTAACCCGAAACGCCGCTTAGATTAAGTTATCACTTCTGTCGTGTGCCCCGAGTTTTTTGTATTCTCGCGTACTTTTGTCCTATCCGGTCTTAGGCGTTGAGCAGACGACGGGGCGGGGCGGGCATTTTGTCCGCGAAGCAATAAAGACCGCGTCTGCCCGTCGATGTCTGCGGCTGCTCGCGCCGCGTACACAAAGCACACGACGGGCAGAGGCAGTCAGTTCTAGTGAATAGTCCATCACTAATAAGCGCGTGGCGCGGACTGAGCTGACCGCCCCGCGCCGCCGTCTGCGTTACTGCATATAAACTGGTTTGTATGATCCACGGCGGGCAGCCGCGGACATGCCGCGCCGCCACTGCCCGCCGGGCACCTGCGGCGCGGTCTTTTTGCCCTCTGTGTGCTTTTGAAGTATAGGATTCACTTTGTGCTATTATTCGCGACGAAATTGACCGGCCCGCCCCGCCCCGTCGTCTGCAAAGCGCCTTAGAGCATATATACATGCGTCAGTGCAGCATATATGTATATAAGGTCTCTCGGTGTCCTTGGTTGTTTGGGGGACTTTTTGTACGCGGGATCTATTTTATTCCTCGTGAGTGTTGCGGTATTTGTAAGCAATCTATGTCGGTGGACAAAAAGCCCGCGGACAAAAGTCCCTTGTCTGAGCAGGTCATAAAGTGCACAAGTACACAACCTGTCACCCTGGGGATCGAAAAAAAACAAAATATAAAAATCTCATCATAGTATATTGTACTTTAATCTTCTCTCGTTTCAAAGTTGAAATAATTCTCAGCCCAGATATAGAATCCATATCCATAATAATATTATATATGCGAATGTGTGTCTGTATGACTTCACGCTTTAACGGCTGAACCGATTTATATGAAAGGCAATTTGAATGGAAATTAACCGATTTATATAAAGTAATAGTTTAAGTCCCAGGAAAGACAATAGGTTAATTTTTATTCCAAACATCATTTGAGGGGGTGAAATTGGGTGTATGTATATAAGGTTTAATTTGAAACCAAATTTTCCACGCAAACTAAGTCGCGGGCCACCCACTAGTATCTTCTATTATCTGATTTAAAAATACGGAATGAACAACATTCAAAAGCTTTCATATTGTACTTGTGGCCAAACTTTTAAATAAGGTGTTGAGATTGTGTAATAAGATAATGGGTACTGATGACTGATATTCACAAGCACTCGTGATAGATATGGCATGACAAGTGGAAAAAATACAAATAATAAATGTCACAAACTCCAAACAAACCATGTTGCAACAAAACATTTTGTGGGAACATACATAACTGTATGTCTTATAAAAGGTTAGTAATGCTCGATAAGTATTATTTTATTGGCGACGACACAATTTCGTAATTCGTCATAGTTCAAAGTGATAAAAGGACATTTAATACGAGAAGTGATAAATTTTAAGGCCTTGTATTGAGATAGCTATGACATTTTCGTAACGCGAATGTAAAAACAAAATTACAGCACAGTTGACTTTTTGCGCAAGTACGATATTTGTCTAAGCATGTAAGCCATCTAATTATTTTTGAAGTGAAAACTTCTTTAGCGGCGTTGTAACCTTTTTTTGTATGGGTAATAAATGTGAAATTCGCGTCAGGTTAAACACGTGGGCTGATCGCATCATGACACACAATAAAATTGGAAAGGTTGTTGATTTTCAATAATACATAGTAATATTTTATTTTATCGTATTATAATAATAAGTCTCTATCTAGGACGTCCGCGTGGCAGCTTTATTGCGAAGAAAATGCATTTTTTTTACAATAAATGTCGCTAGCTGCGCTTAAATGTGATTCATGTAAGTTGATTTTTTACAATAGATGTCGCTAAGTGCGCTTAAACGTGATTCATGTAAGTTGATTTTTCTGAGAAATAAACTTTTTAATGTAATATAAATTGTCATGTTTGTGTACGATAGCGCAATAAATAAATATTGTATTCTACCACATACATGATAGTACTTTTATACTGATAATTAAAGCAGTTCGTGCAAAATTATTCCCTAACCATTCCAAAACATCAAAAATGCACAACGTTAATATTCAAGTTTTCACTTCTGCCGGCACTCGGAGTGCAAACCGTCGTGTATTTTTAATTTATATTATTGAATTGGATAACAAGGATATTAGAAAGGTGTTATAATAGTTACTTCAGATAACAGGTTAACCCAAATCTCCTGTACCGGCTATTCTTGAGCCTGGAATTCACCTGCATTTATATAACATCAGGAGCGGTAGAGTAAATTAATGGAATTACGTTTTTATTTTTTAATCATTTAACTGCTAGATCTGAAATTCAGGGCCGCGGAAGCATAATGGTCAGTGCATTCGCCCGGATAGCGAAAGGTGCTGGATGGAGTCCCGCTTACTGCCTGGTCTGCGTGGAATTTATTCTAGAAAAAATTTCTTTACATTTATATGGATGAAATATTGATTTAAAAATATCACTCTTAATTCACTAAATTCACTTATTGCTATTCCGTTAGACGTAACCATATACTCTACATGAGTTCTTGTTCTTGCCTACGTTGTCATTCATTTACAGTAGCTACCATTCTAATATAAACCGAGAGGTTCCGAAAGTAAAAAAAAAAAAAACAACAACTACGGCTTTTAAAAAAGGATCAAATAAAATTACTAATTACCCCTGATGGTTACCACCAATTACGTCATCACACATTTAAAGAATATGTTAACACCTGAATACGGTGAAGTAATCGGCCCAGTGGTTGACGAGTTAAATAGTTACACTTGGAAACCTTACTAACACATAGAAACTATTTACCACCAAAAGGAAGTTTTTCATTATTTCAATGTTATCTTCTGTAGAGCATATATTACTTCCACGGACTCTCAAATTCTTGCGCGAAATTTGGCAAGCATTTTTTTAAGGTAAAAAGATAGGCTAATGATGAAGACAGTGCCATTTCAAAATACTTTTCCTTAAGTCCATGTTGAGATGATAGTATCGTCCGCTAAAATTGTAGTGAGCGGGCAGTGTCATGTAAATTTTGTTCAAGGCGTAGCCAATTCTTACACATTACATGCATTACAGCTATTGACAAAAGTGTCAAGTGGTGAATGTCTTGTTGACTGTTGAGTCACTTTGTCTTGTTGACGAAATTGTATTTTATTTTATACTTATAATTTTAATACATATTATTATGTAAGAAAGGTGACGAAAAATTAATTCAACTTTTCCCGCTCTAGTTTGAGTGCGTCTGGG